TAACACTGAATGTGAAACATACCTATTATCAAACACAACACTGAATGTGAAACATAACTATTATCAAACACAACACTGAATGTGAAACATGCCTATTATCAAACATAACACTGAATGTGAAACAGATCTATTATCAAACATAACACTGAATGTGAAACATACCTATTATCAAACACAATACTAAATGTGAAACATTCCTATTATCAAACACAACACTGAATGTGAAACATACCTATTATCAAACATAACACTGAATGTGAAACATATCTATTATCAAACACAACACTGAATGTGAAACATGCCTATTATCAAACATAACAATGAATGTGAAACAGACCTATTATCAAACATAACACTGAATGTGAAACATACCTATTATCAAACATAACACTGAATGTGAAACATACCTATTATCAAACACAACACTGAATGTGAAACATACCTGTTATCAAAGCACATCACTGAATGTGAAACATACCTATTATCAAACACAACAATGAAAATAAAACATACCTGTTATCAAACACAACAGTGAATGTGAAACATACCTATTATCAAACACAACACTGAATGTGAAACATACCTATTATCAAACACAACACTGAATGTGAAACATACCTATTATCAAACACAACACTGAATGTGAAACATACCTATTATCAAACATAACACTGAATGTGAAACATGCATGTTATCAAAGCACATCAGTGAATGTGAAACATGCATGTTATCAAACATAACACTGAATGTGAAACATGCATGTTATCAAACACATCACTGAATGTGAAACATACCTATTATCAAACATAACACTGAATGTGAAACATACCTATTATCAAACATAACACTGAATGTGAAACATGCATGTTATCAAACACATCACTGAATGTGAAACATACCTATTATCAAACACAACACTGAATGTGAAACATGCCTATTATCAAACATAACACTGAATGTGAAACATGCATGTTATCAAACACATCACTGAATGTGAAACATACCTATTATCAAACATAACACTGAATGTGAAACATACCTATTATCAAACATAATACTGAATGTGAAACATACCTATTATCAAACACAACACTGAATGTGAAACATACCTGTTATCAAAGCACATCACTGAATGTGAAACATACCTATTATCAAACACAACAATGAAAATGAAACATACCTATTATCAAACATAACACTGAATGTGAAACATGCATGTTATCAAAGCACATCACTGAATGTGAAACATGCATGTTATCAAACATAACACTGAATGTGAAACATACCTATTATCAAACACAACACTGAATGTGAAACATACCTGTTATCAAAGCACATCACTGAATGTGAAACATACCTATTATCAAACACAACAATGAAAATAAAACATACCTGTTATCAAACACAACACTGAATGTGAAACATACCTATTATCAAACACAACACTGAATGTGAAACATACCTATTATCAAACACAACACTGAATGTGAAACATACCTATTATCAAAGTACAACACTGAATGTGAAACATACCTATTATCAAAGCACAACACTGAATGTGAAACATACCTATTATCAAAGCACATCACTGAATGTGAAACATACCTATTATCAAACACAACAATGAAAATAAAACATACCTGTTATCAAACACAACACTGAATGTGAAACATACCTATTATCAAACACAACACTGAATGTGAAACATACCTATTATCAAACACAACACTGAATGTGAAACATACCTATTATCAAAGTACAACACTGAATGTGAAACATACCTATTATCAAACACAACACTGAATGTGAAACATACCTATTATCAAAGCACATCACTGAATGTGAAACATACCTATTATCAAACATAACACTGAATGTGAAACATACCTGTTATCAAACACAACACTGAATGTGAAACATACCTGTTATCAAACATAACACTGAATGTGAAACATACCTATTATCAAACACAATACTGAATGTGAAACATACCTGTTATCAAAGCACATCACTGAATGTGAAACATACCTATTATCAAACATAACACTGAATGTGAAACATACCTGTTATCAAACATAACACTGAATGTGAAACATACCTATTATCAAACACAAGAATGAATGTGAAACATACCTATTATCAAACACAACACTGAATGTGAAACATACCTATTATCAAACACAACACTGAATGTGAAACATACCTGTTATCAAACACAACACTGAATGTGAAACATACCTATTATCAAACACAACACTGAATGTGAAACATGCATATTATCAAACATAACACTGAATGTGAAACATACCTTTTATCAAACATAACACTGAATGTGAAACATACCTGTTATCAAAGTACATCACTGAATTGGAAACATTGTAATCAAAGTACAACACTGAATGTGAAACATACCTGTTATCAAAGTACATCACTGAATTGGAAACATTGTAATCAAACATAACACTGAATGTGAAACATACCTATTATCAAACACAACACTGAATGTGAAACATAACTATTATCAAACACAACACTGAATGTGAAACATGCCTATTATCAAACATAACACTGAATGTGAAACAGATCTATTATCAAACATAACACTGAATGTGAAACATACCTATTATCAAACACAATACTAAATGTGAAACATTCCTATTATCAAACACAACACTGAATGTGAAACATACCTATTATCAAACATAACACTGAATGTGAAACATATCTATTATCAAACACAACACTGAATGTGAAACATGCCTATTATCAAACATAACAATGAATGTGAAACAGACCTATTATCAAACATAACACTGAATGTGAAACATACCTATTATCAAACATAACACTGAATGTGAAACATACCTATTATCAAACACAACACTGAATGTGAAACATACCTGTTATCAAAGCACATCACTGAATGTGAAACATACCTATTATCAAACACAACAATGAAAATAAAACATACCTGTTATCAAACACAACAGTGAATGTGAAACATACCTATTATCAAACACAACACTGAATGTGAAACATACCTATTATCAAACACAACACTGAATGTGAAACATACCTATTATCAAACACAACACTGAATGTGAAACATACCTATTATCAAACATAACACTGAATGTGAAACATGCATGTTATCAAAGCACATCAGTGAATGTGAAACATGCATGTTATCAAACATAACACTGAATGTGAAACATGCATGTTATCAAACACATCACTGAATGTGAAACATACCTATTATCAAACATAACACTGAATGTGAAACATACCTATTATCAAACATAACACTGAATGTGAAACATGCATGTTATCAAACACATCACTGAATGTGAAACATACCTATTATCAAACACAACACTGAATGTGAAACATGCCTATTATCAAACATAACACTGAATGTGAAACATGCATGTTATCAAACACATCACTGAATGTGAAACATACCTATTATCAAACATAACACTGAATGTGAAACATACCTATTATCAAACATAATACTGAATGTGAAACATACCTATTATCAAACACAACACTGAATGTGAAACATACCTGTTATCAAAGCACATCACTGAATGTGAAACATACCTATTATCAAACACAACAATGAAAATGAAACATACCTATTATCAAACATAACACTGAATGTGAAACATGCATGTTATCAAAGCACATCACTGAATGTGAAACATGCATGTTATCAAACATAACACTGAATGTGAAACATACCTATTATCAAACACAACACTGAATGTGAAACATACCTGTTATCAAAGCACATCACTGAATGTGAAACATACCTATTATCAAACACAACAATGAAAATAAAACATACCTGTTATCAAACACAACACTGAATGTGAAACATACCTATTATCAAACACAACACTGAATGTGAAACATACCTATTATCAAACACAACACTGAATGTGAAACATACCTATTATCAAAGTACAACACTGAATGTGAAACATACCTATTATCAAAGCACAACACTGAATGTGAAACATACCTATTATCAAAGCACATCACTGAATGTGAAACATACCTATTATCAAACACAACAATGAAAATAAAACATACCTGTTATCAAACACAACACTGAATGTGAAACATACCTATTATCAAACACAACACTGAATGTGAAACATACCTATTATCAAACACAACACTGAATGTGAAACATACCTATTATCAAAGTACAACACTGAATGTGAAACATACCTATTATCAAACACAACACTGAATGTGAAACATACCTATTATCAAAGCACATCACTGAATGTGAAACATACCTATTATCAAACATAACACTGAATGTGAAACATACCTATTATCAAACACAACACTGAATGTGAAACATACCTGTTATCAAAGTACAACACTGAATGTGAAACATACCTGTTATCAAAGTACAACACTGAATGTGAAACATACCTGTTATCATGAGTATACTGAATCTACACTAAATCATGTTGTTAATTAGACAGTTTTAATGGACAAATATTTGTAATAATTATATCAAGTGGGGTCTCATTTTACTCATATTATTGTTCTGAATCAGAAAATATTACTCCTTTTCATGTTTCTTTAAAAAAATTATTTTATTAAAATGAATGATTATACTGAATCTACACTAAATCCTGATGTTAATTAGACAGGTTTAATGAATAGATATGTGTAAGAATCATATAAAGTGGGGTCTCATCTTACTGGTTTTGTTCTACTGAATCCATTGATATAATTATTTTTTACACATTTCTTGAAAAAATTTTTTTTTTTTAAGATATCAGGTTTAATGGAAGTTTTGACATTTCACAACAAAACATGTTTATTTATTGTTTATGTAGAATATAAATACAAGTGTGACTGGTCATTTTATTCAGTTTTGACCACTGATTCATGTGATATATATTTTGTTTATATTTATTACACAACATTGTCCAGTTATCAGACAAGTTTTGATGTCAGTTGTATTATTCCAGGGTAGAGGATGGACAGCATTAATGTGGGCTGCCAGTGAAGGACAGCTGGAGGTCTGTAGACTTCTCATTGATACAGGATGTAAGATCAACACCACAAATGTATGTTATCTACTAAGTCTGATCACATTACTATTAATCAACACTAAATTATGTTGTTAATCAGACAGGTTTAATGAACAAATATTTGTAATAATTATATCAAGTGGGGTCTCATTTTACTCATATTATTGTTCTGAATAAAAATATATATCTTCTTTTATGTTTCTTTAAAAAAAATATTTTATTAAAATGAATGATTATACTGAATCTACACTAAATCCTGTTGTTAATTAGACAGTTTTAATGAACAAATATTTGTAAGAATCATATAAAGTGGGGTCTCATTTTACTTGTTTTGTTCTACTGAATCCATTGATATAATTATTTTACACATTTCTTGAAAAAAAAATTTTTTAAGATATCAGGTTTAATGGAAGTTTTGACATTTCACAACAAAACATGTTTATTTATTGTTTATGTAGAATATAAATACAAGTGTGACTGGTCATTTTATTCAGTTTTGACCACTGATTCATGTGATATATATTTTGTTTATATTTATTACACAACATTGTCCAGTTTATCAGACAAGTTTTGATGTCAGTTGTATTATTCCAGGTTGGTGGATTGACAGCATTAATGAGGGCTGCCATGGGAGGATACCTGGAGATCTGCAGACTTCTCATTGATACAGGATGTAAGATCGACACCACAGATGTATGTTATCTACTTAGTCTGATCACATTACTATTAATCTACAGAAAATCATGTTGTTAATTAGACAGGTTTAATGAACAAATATTTGTAATAATTATATCAAGTGGGGTCTCATTTTACTCATATTATTGTTCTGAATCAGAAAATATTACTCTTTTTCATGTTTCTTTAAAAAAATTATTTTATTAAAATGAATGATTATACTGAATCTACACTAAATCCTGATGTTAATTAGACAGTTTTAATGAACAAATATGTGTAAGAATCATATAAAGTGGGGTCTCATTTTACTTGTTTTGTTCTACTGAATCCATTGATATAATTATTTTACACATTTCTTGAAAAAAATTTTTTTTTAAGATATCAGGTTTAATGGAAGTTTTGACATTTCACAACAAAACACGTTTATTTATTGTTTATATACAATATAAATACAAGTGTGACTGGTCATTTTATTCAGTTTTGACCACTGATTCATGTGATATATATTTTGTTTATATTTATTACACAACATTGTCCAGTTTATCAGACAAGTTTTAATGTCAGTTGTAGGATATGTTGTATATTATTGATATTGATAACAAAGTATTGTCCATAATATTGACATGTTATTACGTTATATTATAGAGAGATGGATACACAGCTTTACATATAGCTGCTCTGAATGGACATTTACAGATCACAAGATGTCTAGTAGAAGTAGGTGCCAGTCCCTTGGTTACAACACATGAGGTAATATTTTATAGTATATACCCAGTGTTCAACTATTAAGTAATGAATCACTAAAATGATGTATGAGATATATTTGGTCAAATTGATTCTTTTTCAAGGCAATAGTCAAAAGTCATCTGATCCTTTAAATTTAACTTAAGATATGAAAAAGTTTTATGGAGGGTGTGGATACAGACATAGGAGGGTGTGGATAGGGTATACAGATATAGGAGGGTGTATATGGGGTATACACATACAGGAGGGTGAGGATGGGGTATACACATATAGGATGGTGTGGATGGGGTATACACATATAGGAGGGTGTGGATGGGGTATAGAGGTTTAGGAGGGTGTGAAGGGGTAATACAGATATAGGAGGGGTAGATGGGGTATACACATATAGGAGAGTGTGAATGGAATATACAGGAATAGGAAGGTGTGGATGGGGTATACACATATAGAAGGGTGTGGATGGGGTATAGACATATAGGAGGGTGTGGATGGGGTATACACATATAGGAGAGTGTGAATGGAATATACAGGAATAGGAAGGTGTGGATGGGGTATACACATATAGGAGGGTGTGGATGGGGTATAGAGGTTGAGAAGGGTGTGGAGGGGTAATACAGATATAGGAGGGGATGGATAGGGTATACACCTATAGGAAGGTGTGGATCGGGTATACACATATAGGAGGGTGTGGACGGGGTATAGAGGTTGAGTAGGGTGTGGAGGGGTAATACAGATATAGGAGGGGATGGATAGGGTATACACCTATAGGAAGGTGTGGATCGGGTATACACATATAGGAGGGTGTGGACGGGGTATAGAGGTTGAGAAGGGTGTGGAGGGGTAATACAGATACAGGAGGATGTGGATTGGATATACTGATATAGGAGGGTGTGGATGGGGAATACTGATATAGGAAAGAGTGGATGGGTAATACAGATATAGGAGTGTGTGGATGGGGTATACAGATAAAGAAGGGTGTGGATTGGGTAGGGTATAGATGGGGTATACAGATATAGGAGGATGGGGATTGGGTATACAGATATAGAGAAAAAAGTAGTATTACATCTTCCCGGCTTTAGGTTGGCCTTTTGTGTACCCAAGGCAGGTGAAGGAAATCAACTTAGAAGCGCTGTGATTAGATGTAAGGGTACAATATATATTTTTATAAGTTTTACCCTTGTCCGTCTGTAAGTACGTCCGTCCGTGCGTCCAAAAATTGGTTTCTGTTCTCTAACTTGAGTTTGCCTTAACCAAATGTTATGAAACTCATAAACAATGCTAATTACCACAAAACTGAGATCAAGTTTGAATTTTGGTGGCGTCACTTTAACCGTTCTAGAGTTATGCCCCTTTATAAATGGAAATGGAAAATTTTTAGTTTCCGTTCTCTAACTTAAGTTTGCTTCAACCAAATTTTATGAAACTTATAACAATGCTTATTACCAATAAATACAGATCAAGTTTGAATTTTGGTAGCATCACTCTAACCGTTCTAGAGTTATGCCCCTTTATATAAATGGAAAAATTACAAAAATTTTAGTTTCCGTTCTCTTACTTGAGTTTGCTTCAACCAAATGTTATGAAACTTATACACAATGCTTATTACCACAAAACACAGATCAAGTTTGAATTTTGGTGTCGTCACTTTAACCGTCCTAGAGTTATGCCACTTTATAAATGGAAAAATTGCAAAATTTTTAGTTTCCGTTCTCTAACTTAAGTTTGCCTCAACCAAATTTTATGAAACATATACACAATGCTTATTACCACAAAATAAAGATCAAGTTTGAATTTTGGTGGGGTCACTTTAACCATTCTCCAGTTATGCCCTTTATAAATGGAAAAAATGCAAAATTTTTAGTAAAACACAGATCAAGTTTGAATGTTGGTGGCGTCACTTTTACTGTTCTAGAGTTATACCCCTTTATAAATGGAAAAATTGCAAAATTTTTATTTTTTTCTAAATATCAATTAATTTTTGAAATTGGAGTTATATTCCTTTGTCCATGATTATAGTTGAATCAACTACAATCAATGCTTTATACAAAGCAATGTTTAATTTTTACTTCCACTGATAAAACACAGATCAAGTTGAATTTGGGTAGTGTCACTTTAACCATTATTGAGTTATGCCCCTTTGTAAATCGAAAGATTGCAAAATTTTTAGTTTCCATTCTGTAACTTAAGTTTGCCCCAACCAAACATTATGAAACCTATACACAATATTCATTACCACAAAACTAAGATCAAGTACAAATTTTTTGTTTCCGTTTTCGAACTTTAGTTTGCCTCAACCAAATGTTATGAAACTTATACACAATGCTTATTACTACATAATACAGATTAAGTACAAAATTTGGTGAGAACACTTTTACCATTCTTGAGTTATGTCCCTTTATAAACATAAAAATTGCTGAATTTTTAGTTTCCGTTCTCTAACTTTATTTTATTTATCTATGAATAACTGCAGTGTGTATATTTTCAATATAAATTTTGAAACCCATTTAAATATTTTTTCACCCCGTTTTCACCCGGATTCTTTAGCCTTCAGACTGATTTCCTTTGAAATACCGGCAAATTCGTAATTCTTCCTTTACAAGAAGTTCAACTAGCTGTGTAAACTAAAATTAAGTGACCCATTTCAGTGCATGGCTTTATTTGACAGCTTTGGTGTCAAACACACTGTTAATTAACACCAATTACCTTAGCTTTAGGTCAAAAATAATTTGTGTATTTCAAAGTTGTTTCACAAAAAATTTAATTACTTCACCTTTTTGTCACCTTTCACAATATACTCCTTAAATTTATGTTTATTTTTGTAAAAAAGGTTAAATCTAAAACAAATTGAATGCAAATACATATAAGATTATTACTTATTATTTTTCTACCTTAGAACAATTAGAAAATAAATAGTTGAAAATTATTAGGGCCTCACCGAATGGCAGACGCCCTATAGTGATCAATCTGTCCGTCCATCTGTCCGTCCTTCCGTCTGTAACAAATTGTGTCTGCTCTATATCTAGAGAACTGGAATGATTTCAAAGTTTATACTTGACATGTATATAAACCAACACCAGAGGGTGTGTCATAATGTATGTACAACTTCCTAGGTCAAAGGTCAAGGTCAAAAACTTTGGTTTAAGTTGACAACCCCATGTCCTATGGTAAAGATCGTGTCCGCTCTATATCTTGAGAACTGTTATGATTTCAAAGTTTATACTTGACATGTATATAAACAAACACCATAGGGTGTGTCATAATTTATATACATCTTCCTAGGTCAAAGGTCAAGGTCATAAACTTTGGTTTCAGTTGACAACCACATGTCCAATGATAAAGATACAAATTTTTTACCTCATGTTATTCTCAGCGGGGCCCACAGAGATGGCTCCCATCTCAATGATATCTAGTTTTTTTCATCTCTACTTCCTTTAAATGTTTAACTTTTTTTTATTATACTCTAATATCAACTACCGTGCGAGGGCTGTATAGCCAGTCAAGGTCTTTAATAACCCCCATCATCATCTCTAGAAATAATGTATAAAACTCTACAGATAGACATGATAGATGCATACTGAGCTCCTTGTGACTTGTGAATTGAATATAATCAAGGAAATTGTTAAAGTGTTAAACATTGATCTATCATAGCCAGAAGTGCATTGATAATAATACTTTAAAATTATTTTCAGTTAATACTTTACCATTACTTTTCATGGTTTGGAAATTGCTTGTTTTAAAATATAAAAAAATGTCCCCTAAAATACTTAAATTCAGCTGGAAAAAAGTTCGTAAGCGTTATGACCTGAGATTTTATTAGGGTACAATATATATATTTTTTTTTTTATCTATGAATAACTGCAGTGTGTATATTTACAATATAAATTTTGAAACCCATTGAAATATATTCTAGAGAATTGTTCGAAAAGACTTCCAAAATTTCTTAAATTTGGTGTAAAATGAAGGTGGGCATGGATAACATAAACAAGCTCCATTGGAAGTTGGTCATGATACATTTGACCTCAAGTTTTAAAACAGAATAATAAAGTACTAATACCACACATAACTGTTTTGTCCGGGTTTTTATTATAAAAAGTGGTAAATTTAGAAAATGTTAGTATTGTCGCCTATGGCAGAATAAATAGTACCGTTTTCCCTATAGGAGGGTGTGGATGGGGTATACAGATATAAGAGGGTGTGGATTGGGTATACAGATATAGGGGGGTTTGGATGGGTAATACAGATATAGGAGGATGTAGATGTGGTATACAGATATAGGAGGGTGTGGATGGGGTATACAGATATAGGAGGGTTTGGATGAGTAATACAGGTATTAGAGGGTGTTGATTGGGTATACAGATATAGGAGGGTTTGGATTGGTAAAACAGATATAGGAGGGTTCGGATGGGTAATACAAATATATAGGAGGGTTTAAATCGGGTATACAGATATAGGAGGGTTTGGATGGGGTATACAGATATAGGAAGGTTTAAATGGGGTATACAGATATAGGAGGGTGTGGATAGGTAATACAGATATAGGAGGGTTTGGATGGGGTATACAGATATAGGAGGGTTTGTATGGGTAGAATTAATGAATAGAAAAGGATTGGGTACAAAAATATAAAAAATAGAGAATAATATTGGGATGTTAAAAATATAAAGAACTGTGAATAATGTGCCCACAAAATTAGAAAAGATAGTTAAAAATGAAGACCCCCAAACTCATCCACACCTCATGTAGACATTAGGATGCATTTACCAATCTTCAGACTGCAAAGAAAATAACAGGACCAAATGGTGACAGATGGAACTTTTATTCTGATTCTTTAAAAAAAAGAGTTAAAAGCCTATTTAAAGTCTTCACAAAATTGTGAAAAATAATCGAAATGTCGTCTCATGAGTTATATATATATGGTTAGCATCTGTTAAGATAAAATTAATCACCACTCAGCTGCTACTGGTCTTACTAATTGTAAGATATTATGTGTTACAGAAGCCTTCTTTGTAACAGGTGAAAGCAATATAAAGATTTGTCTGTATTTCAGGGTCAGACGCCATACGATCTAGCAGCAGAATATAAATCTCTCCAGTATAAAGAAGTGATGGAATACTTACAGGTACATATAGTGATAGATATGGTGTTGAATTACAAACGCTTACACTTAGAATGAATCAAGTAGAAAATAAGTTACAAATTATAAAGAAATATAAAACTAAGAAATCAAATGCCGCAAAACCAAAATACTTCAGGAGAGAAATCTTACAAAATTGGTTTTAAACAAACAATTTAAAATTCTAATGCAATTATTTGTTATCACCATTTTGATTGGACAACATCATATATTTGGGGCGCTAAATCCACACTTAACAAGCTTTTAACTAAGCTTAGTTGTCATGTTTCAATTCAGGAATTTATTATTATGTGATTTCTTCAATATTCAACAAAATTAGCAGATGTTTTTTATTTCATATTCTAGAGCAAACAAGACGAGAGCAAGTTTTGTTAATTTTTATTAATAAATTGTTTTTGGTTTTTGATTTGGAGATGTACGGCGGCCGGCGGGGGGGGGTGGCTGCCAAACAAAAATTTTTGTGGTCGTATATTGGTATGATGTTGGCGTCGTCGTCGTCGTCCGAAGACACATTAGTTTTCGCACTCTAACTTTAGTTTAAGTGAATGGATCTCAATGAAATTTTACCATAAGGTTCAATACCACAAAAGGAAGGTGGGGATTGATTTTGGGGGTAATGGTACCAACAGTTAAGGAATTAGGGGCCAAAAGGGGCCAAAAATAAGCATTTTTGTAACTTCCAGACATAACTTGTGTGTTAGTGTATGGATCTCTCTGACATTGTGCCACAAGGTTCCATATCACAAAGGGAATGCTGGGATTGATTTTGGGGGTAATTGCCTCAAAATTTTAGGAATAAGGGGCCAAAAAAGGGGCAAAAAACAAGCATTTTTATATGGACAAATACTTTAGTACAAAACATAATTTAAAGCAGTGTAAGGGAGATAAATCAAATTCATCATTAGAATTACCTCCCTTACACTGCTTTTAAATTATGTATAAAGTAATGGTTAATGAACAATTAAGACCAAAAAAAAGAAATTGTGGGGGGTCAAATTTTTCTTATTTCAGATTTCAGAAATTAAAAAGAATTATTCTTCAAATATTATTTTTTTTTCAAATTTCAAATATTGAAAAATTTCAAGAAGTAATCTTTAATTGCACAGTATGGCGCATTAGATTTGTAAAATCTTTGACCACATTTATTTATTTGTTATGCCAAATCTGACTGTGTATTTAGATTTTTAATTTTGGGGTCCAGTTTTCAAATTGGTCTACATTAAGGTCCAAAGGGTCCAAAATTAAACTTAGTTTGATTTTAACAAAAATTGAATTCTTGGGGTTCTTTGATATGCTGAATCTAAACATGTATTTAGATATTTGATTTCGGGCCCAGTTTTCAAGTTGGTCCAAATTGGGGTCCAAAATTAAACTTTGTTTGATTTCAACATAAATTGAATATATTTTATTTATTTGTTATGCCAAATCTGACTGTGTATTTAGATTTTTAATTTTGGGGTCCAGTTTTCAAATTGGTCTACATTAAGGTCCAAAGGGTCCAAAATTAAACTTAGTTTGATTTTAACAAAAATTGAATTCTTGGGGTTCTTTGATATGCTGAATCTAAACATGTATTTAGATTTTTGATTTCGGGCCCAGTTTTCAAGTTGGTCCAAATTGGGGTCCAAAATTAAACTTTGTTTGATTTCAACATAAATTGAATATATGGGGTCCTTTGATATGCCGAATCTAACCATGTATTTAGATTTTTCATTTTGGGTCCAGTTTTCAAATTGGTCTACATTAAGGTCCAAAGGGTCCAAAATTAAACTTAGTTTGATTTTAACAATAATTGAATATATGGGGTTCTTTGATATGCTGATTCTAAACATGTATTTAGATTTTTGATTTCGGGCCCATTTTTCAAGTTGATCCAAATAGGGGTCCAAAATTAAACTTTTGTTTGATTTCGACAATAATTGAATATATGGGGTTCTTTGATATGCTGAATCTAACCATGTATTTAGATTTTTTATTTGTGGGCCCGGCTATCAAATTGGTTCATATTGAGGTCAAAAGGGTCCAAAATTAAACTTTGTTTTATTTCATCAAAAATTGAATTATTGGGGTTCTTTGATATGCCAAATCTAACCGCGTATTTAGATTTTTAATTTAGGGTCCAGTTTTCAAATTGGTCTACATTAAGGTTCAAAGGGTCCAAAATTAAACTTAGTTTAATTTTAACAAAAATTGAATCCTTGGGGTTCTTTGATATGCTGAATCTAAACATGTATTTAGATTTTTGATTTCGGTCCCAGTTTTCAAGTTGGTCCAAATTGGGGTCCAAAATTAAACTTTGTTTGATTTCAACATAAATTGAATATATTTGTTTATTTGTTATGCCAAATCTGACTGTGTATTTAGATTTTTAATTTTGGGGTCCAGTTTTCAAATTGGTCTACATTAAGGTCCAAAGGGTCCAAAATTAAACTTAGTTTGATTTTAACAAAAATTAAATTCTTGGGGTTCTTTGATATGCTGAATCTAAACATGTATTTAGATTTTTGATTTCGGGCCCAGTTTTCAAGTTGGTCCAAATTGGGGTCCAAAATTAAACTTTGTTTGATTTCAACACAAATTGAATATATGGGGTCCTTTGATATGCCGAATCTAACCATGTATTTAGATTTTTCATTTTGGGTCCAGTTTTCAAATTGGTCTACATTAAGGTCCAAAGGGTCCAAAATTAAACTTAGTTTGATTTTAACAATAATTGAATATATGGGGTTCTTTGATATGCTGATTCTAAACATGTATTTAGATTTTTGATTTCGGGCCCATTTTTCAAGTTGATCCAAATAGGGGTCCAAAATTAAACTTTTGTTTGATTTCAACAAAAATTGAATATATTGGGTTCTTTGATATGCTGAATCTAACCATGTATTTAGATTTTTTATTTGTGGGCCCGGCTATCAAATTGGTTCATATTGAGGTCAAAAGGGTCCAAAATTAAACTTTGTTTTATTTCATCAAAAATTGAATTATTGGGGTTCTTTGATATGCCAAATCTAACCGCGTATTTAGATTTTTAATTTAGGGTCCAGTTTTCAAATTGGTCTACATTAAGGTTCAAAGGGTCCAAAATTAAACTTAGTTTAATTTTAACAAAAATTGAATTCTTGGGGTTCTTTGATATGCTAAATCTAAACATGTATTTAGATTTTTGATTTCGGTCCCAGTTTTCAAGTTGGTCCAAATTGGGGTCCAAAATTAAACTTAGTTTGATTTCAACAAAAATTGAATATATGGGGTTCTTTGATATGCTGAATCTAACCATGTATTTTGATTTTTTTATTTGTTGGCCCTGCTATCAAATTGGTTCATATTGAGGTCAAAAGGGTCCAAAATTAAACTTTGTTTTATTTCATCAAAAATTGAATTATTGGGGTTCTTTGATATGCCAAATCTAACCGTGTATTTAGATTTTTAATTTTGGGTCCAGTTTTTTAAATTGGTCTACATTAAGGTCCAAAGGGTCCAAAATTAAACTTAGTTTGATTTTAACAAAAATTGAATTCTTGGGATTCTTTGATATGCTGAGTCTAAACATGTGTTTAGATTTTTTATTTCGGGCCCAGTTTTCAAGTTGGTCCAAATTGGGGTCCAAAATTAAACTTTGTTTGATTTCAACAAACATTGAATATATGGGGTTCTTTGATATGCTGAATCTAACCATGTATTTAGATTTTTGGGCCCCGTTATCAAATTGGTCCACATTGAGGTCAAAAGGGTCCAAAATTAAACTTTGTTTTATTTCATCAAAAATTGAATTATTGGGGTTCTTTGATATGTCAAATCTAACTGTGTATATAGATTTTTAATTTTGGGTCCAGTTTTTTAAATTGGTCTACATTAAGGTCCAAAGGGTCCAAAATTTAACTTAGTTTGATTTTAACAAAAATTGAATTCTTGGGGTTCTTTGATATGCTGAATCTAAACATGTGTTTAGATTTTTGATTATGGGCCCAGTTTTCAAGTTGGTCCAAATTGGGGTCCAAAATTAAACTTTGTTTGATTTCAACAAAAATTGAATATATGGGGTTCTTTGATATGCTGAATCTAACCATGTATTTTGATTTTTGGGCCCCGTTATCAAATTGGTCCACATTGAGGTCAAAAGGGTCCAAATTAAACTTTGTTTGATTTCATCAAAAATGGAATTCTTTGGATTCTTTGATATGCTGAATCTTACCATGTATTTAGATTTTGGATATTGGACCATAATAGGTAAATTAAAAAAATTAAAGTTCTTAGACCACATTCATTCTGTTTCAGAAACCTATGCTGTGTCAAATATTTAATCACAATCCAAATTCAGAGCTGTATCAAGCTTGAATGTTGTGTCCATACTTGCCCCAACTGTTCAGGGTTCGACCTCTGCGGTCGTATCAAGCTGCGCCCAGCGGAGCATTTTATTACTATATGAATTTGAGTTATTTCCTTTTGAACAGAAATGGTATAATTAATAATTAATTTCTATGTCATTTGGTCTCTTGTTTATTTTGAGTTATTTCCCTTTGAACAGGAATGATTTAATTAATAATTATCTCATCAAAAATTGAATTCTTGGGGTTCTTTAATATGCTGATTCTAACAATGTACTTAGATTTGGGATATTGGACCATAATAGGTAAATGTCCAATTTCAAATTTTTCATTTCTTTGACCACATTCATTTTGTGTCATAAACCTATGCTGTGTCAAATACTCATTTTTTTATTTTGTATAGAATGCATAAAAATGGAAATAACTGTATTGTATAACTATTTTTAGCTTGGCCTACAATTAATTTGTCCTACTTTAGCAAATATCCTTTTACGTAGCTAACTACTATATCACTAGCCTTTTTACACTCAGGTTATGAGTTTGAGTCCCTCACATGTCAGGTCCTTTGACTTCTTAAATTCACGCAAGTAATCAGTTTTCCACACTATTTGTTGTTATGCTTACAGATGTTGATTTGATAATTGGTATACAGTTTTAGGT